CGAACTCTGTGCGATATTTCTTGAAGTTCTGGGGGAGTTGTTAATGGGTTTCTTCAGTTGTTGGGTGCTTTTATGGTTTTTGTTGCCTTTGCTTTTGTTGTTAAGTTTTAGTACGAATTTGTTGGCTTATGTGCCTGGTTTTTGAGGTACTTTTGCTTTTTTAATCTAGTTTGTCTTTGGCCTGTAGGAAGTTGTTTTTTTTGCTGGGTGTAGTTAGTAAATCCCGGTTGTGTTTTAGTTCCCACTCTTAGGAGTATTGTATTTGTACTTTGTGGTGGTTTTGTGGAATGAATGTTAAATTNAAAAAAAGCAAACACACAAACAAATCGATATTCACAAGAACAATTGTCAGAATTACAACAATACACGTAGGCTGTGTTTGGTTGGGCATATTAAGAGTGATATCACGTTATTGAATATACTATCAAGAAGTTTAACATGTTTGGTTTGGAAATTCAAAGTCTGAAAATTGTTATTGGCCTGGTCAATTATCTTTCAAATTTTTAATACCTCATCTCACCAATTTAATTGGATACAATATACTACTACTCTACTTACTGCCCCTCATCTCTGTCAATCAACCTGACACTCGCCCGGCTAGAGAGCCATTGGAGGCTACAACGAAATGGAGTTTTGCCTGTCGTTGTCTTTATAGGTCCAAATGTGGATGAATCTCCTACAAATCTGTGGTGTTTATGAGATTTTTGGCGGATCTCTTTCAAAGGCAGGTCGACCCACGATCTCCGTGGTCTGATAGGATTTGGCCCGATTTGAGTGCAACAATCGAGCTCATGTCCCATTAGCCACTCTCGTCGAGTTCACCCTTGTGTGAAGAAACAAACTGCACATTTTATCTTTTTCATTTGGTATTTCCGGTGGATCTGTGGTTGATGAATCTCCAGTGAATCTATGGTTTTTGTGGATCTATGTCGAGGCAATTTGTCAAGGCCAAGAGCTTAACAATGGTTGATGAATGATTTATTGCTTCTTGGATCTTAAAATACGTTTTTGAAGGTTTTCGCACAACTGTTTGTAGATTACAACAATATATGAGTTGCAACTTCTCTGTTCATAGATGATTTCTTATGATTATCCGTGTTCAAAAATTAATTTTGTAAACTTCTGTGTTCATAGATAAATTTTGAGAATTGCCTCTGTTCATAAATGAATATTGAATATTACAAATTTACAACTTATATTTGGGTTGAGCCCAAAATATAATCCAACAACTTAATGAAATGGATTATAACAAATGAATAACCTAGATAAACAAATTTGGATAATATCAAGCCCAATTACAAAATGTAACCAACGAACCCTTACGTTTCGATATAAAATTTTTTGTTTTTGTTTGGATTTTTTGGTTTTGCTTGGTTAATTTTAAAAAATATAGTATGATTAGTTGTTAGTTGGTATATTAAAATAATATTTAAAATAAAATGATTAACGTTGATTTTATGTAAAAGTATGAGAGAGAAGATTTGAAGTGATGCTTAGTTAAAATTATGTGAGTGGATGAATAATGAATTAAAGTTAACGTGGTGTGTAAAAATGGTTGATTGATATATTATTTAATTATATTGATAATATTGATGATAGTAGAGTTGAATTAAAGTTGAATCTATTAATATATAAAGAGGCAACTAAATAATTCAATAATAGTAACTAAAAATCATCTAAAATCCCGCCCAATATATTACTAAATATAGTAAATTATTTTAAAAAATTTCGCAATATCCCGCCACTTTGAATTGTTTGAGTTTTTTGGAAAATTCAAACGAAGTAGTTGTACAATTGAATTGTTTGAATTATTTCGGAATTAGTTGTACATCAAATTACTTTAATAAAAATATGTCATAAATGATATTGTTTTTAATTTTTTATATTAGCAGGTTGTATTGGTACAACTATGACATTGATGTTTTTAAATTTTTCGATTAGGATATATGAATTAAAATATATATATATATATATATATATATATATATATACTCAAAAAATCATTTATAATATATTAAAATACAATGACAACTAATTATGCTCAAATTTAGTTATTTTTAACATTACCTGACATTTTCCAAGGAAAATAAAATAATAAATTAGCTTTATTATTTGAGTGATATACTAAATACTATATAAATAATATATTTTTGATATATCATAGATTAATAGATGTGTGACACGAATTGTAAGCACAAAAAATGGAACATTATTATTTGTGTGATATAATCTAGATATGCTAAATAATAGAATATGTCAACACCCTATTATACGAAAAGCCTTAAATGAATCTTCATGATAATCTCCTTTTGTGCTTATCTCTAATCTACAGAAATTATAGCCATCAAAATAAAACAAGTACTCCTATATCACAACTCTAATTGTTAAGTGGATAATATTAAATAAATATAGATGTTAACCTCAAATACTTATCTCTAACACACGGGCTTAGGTTAGCCATATAAATCCAACTTTTATTACTTAGAATTTATGATTTATAACCAACGGTGAACTTTTATGCTTATATAAATTCATCTTTAATTGCTTAAAGTGTCATTTAATAACCTAAGGTAAAATCTATCTATTAATATATAAAGAAAGAATGATATTTACTTGAAATAGTAACTAAAAATCAGTAATAAAATATTTGGTTTCCCACTTAAAAATTCAGATTTACTAAATTGGGCAATTTTTTTTGCCAGGATGTGAAAAATCTCGCCTAACTTAATGTAATTAATGTACAGAATCATTTTGGTCAAATATTATGGCTATTATCTTTATTAGTTGCATGATTAAATTTGGAATATAATATATTGATAAAACTTGTAGCTATTACCTTTATTAGTTGTATGGTTTAAATTTGGTATATAATATATTGAAAAAAAATAAAAAATATTTAAAATTAAAAATCAAAAAATAATTATTCATAACTTACGGGTCAATATTAATTTGGACGTAAACGAAGTAGTCAATTATTTATAGTTTAATAGATTACTTAATAACCTATGGGTCAATATTAACTTGGACGTAAACGAAATAGTCAATTATTTATAGTTTAATAATTTACCCAACTACTTAATTTTTTGATTTGAATAGTTTATATAAAAATAAATTATGTTAAGTAATGAAACAATATAAACTTTATATTATACTTATTATTCACATAGGTTGTTAAATATATGATAAAATTTTACCAAAATAATTATTTTATGGAGTCACATTATAGTCAAAGCGAATTTTTGAATAAAAATTTTGAGATGATACTTATTTTGAAACGAATATAATGTAATTTATTAGCAGTTATGTGCACCGCACGGGTTGTGTATTAATTTTAAATAAATATTTTTATGTAATTTTGCCTAATTTAAACTTTATATAACATTTTCAGTAAATTAATATAGATAAATTGTATTACATATTGATTCCATATTTTTAATTTATAAACATTATTTAATAAAAATTTTAATTTATAAATATTAATGAATATCTCTTACCCGTGCACTGCACGGGACCCATACTAGTTAAAAAAAATGATTTGAGTTAAAAATGTTTGGATTTGTTTGGAGATGTTATGTATGCAAACATGCACTTCAATTTTCATCTTATTTCCTTGTATTTCTGGCCCTTACACAAACTTCCTCTATAACTATCTTTTAATTTCACTTTTTATTAGGTCGCTTTTAAGCCTCATCAATCCATACATTTTCTAATGTTTTTAATCCTTATTGGAGTTCCATCGATTATCCTGTGAAGTTTAGAATTTTTAGTGGATTTCCACATTTTTGTAGTGGAATTTTCAATATTTTGAGGCTAAAAGTTACTATCTCCTATTCTTTTTAAATGTCATTTTGGCTTTATCAACTATTAACCAAAATAAATGTTGTTTTGGATCATTTGTATATTTTTTTCCATTATTACCTTCATTTAGTTAATAAATACACTACGTCTTTTCATATTCTCTTCATCTTTTTTTTTTTTTTAAACATTCATCTCTATCTTCATTAATAAGGGTTATTATTGACAAAAAAATTATTCTTAATTAGTGTGCAACTTTCCAAAATGACACTTATTATGAATAGGAGGGAGTACAATATATTCCAATTTATGTATTATAGGGGACAATTTTTTTTTAAAAAATGAAATTTGCAAATCCCAAAGAAACGTGATGAGTTAGATTGCATAAAGAAAAATTTATTAAGGTAATGTTTGGTTTGAGGGATTTGGAGGGGAGGGGAGGAGATAGAGAATTTTAGTTTTCTCTTGTTTGGTTGGAAAATTAGGAGGAGAGGAAGAGGAAAATTTTAAGTAAATTTCCCTCCCCTCCCTCACTTTACCTCCCCTCCAAAATTAAAGGGATTTGAAAGAAAAGTGTGTTAAGATTGTGTGAAAATACCATTTACTTTCAACTTTTAATTGTTTTTAATTTTTTATCTTATTTCATTAAGGGTAAGTTTGTCATTTTAATTTTATTTTCCCTTCCTTTAATTTTTTAACCAAACAATATTTACCATTTTTCCTCGATTTCCTTTATGAATAATCCTTTCAAACAAGGTAAAATTATTTTACATTACTTCTCCTCCCCTCTATTTTCCTCTATTAAAATCTCTCCCCTCCCTTCCCCTCCACTGAACCAAACACACCTAATTGTTATTCATTATTTCATCAATCAAATAAGGGTCCGTTTGGTAGGCTTGATAGGGAGTGATATCAAGCCATTTCATACTATTTCCTTCTTATTATTTTGTTTGGTTCAAACATAAAAGCCCTGTAAAAAGGCACCTGGCCCGAAATTTAATCAACATTTTCATTATAACATATCCCACCTTCTAGGTGGGATGTGTAATCCATCAAAATTTGATCTTTAAATTTTCAACAAATGCCCTTTATTTCTTATCTCAGTTAAATTCTTCCTCTACTACATAATCTCCAATTCAGCCCCACCACCCTTCGATCCATTGCAGCTACTGTTCTTATGTCGTACCTTCAAGTACATCTCTGACTCACGTCGCTCGGCCACCCTGTCTCAGCCACAAACACTTTGTCGAAGGGCGTTGACCAGAGACCAGAGACCTCCATGCCTCAGGAGAATCCCCCAAATCTCTCCTGTTATCACACCGTCGCGGAAATTGAAAGGATTTTCCTGAAAAAGCCGATCGGGATCTCGCAGAGGAACAAATCTATTTATGGAAGAAGGAACAAATCGATTTATGGAAGAAACCTAGAAGGTGGGGAATGAAATTGCAGAGGACAAATTAATTTATGACAGAAACTAGAAGGTGGGAGAAAGAAATCAATTTATGACAGAAACTAGAAGGTGGGAGAAAGAAATCGCACAGGAAGAAATCAAACGGATCTTTGCGGTATAAGCCGGTCGACTTTGAGTATAAGGGCCATTAATTTTTTTGGATGAATTTGGGGGAAAGAGATAGAGTTGATCCGCTTTAGGTAAGGGCAATTTATTTTTTATTTTTGGATGAATTGGAGGAAAGAGATAGACAAGAAGAATGGCAATATTATAAAATTCAACTTTAATCAAAGGGTAAAAAAGTAATCTTCATATAAAGACTACCCTTATCAATTATGAACCAAACAAGTTAATAAATTTTTTTATCAAAAGGATATCACTTCAATTTTTCTATGGGAATGAATCAAGCTCAATCACTCAAAAGTAACGAAACTCACCCATAAGTGTGTACAGTTGGGCCAACCAAACCTGACTTCCCAGCTCACCGGCCAGCAGGTGCGCCGTCCCCAACCACCATCCAACGCAGTAGCTTTGCCCAATACTCTCTCCGCCTTCTGCTAATGGCGAGCCGTCGGATCCAAATCGATGGGTCGGGGGATCCACCGCCACGGTTCGATGACGAAGAAACCCTGGATGAGGACGGTGGCAGCCTGAGGCTTCGGCCATCAGGTAGCAATGTGACGGAGGATCTCGAACCTTTCATGGGAGTTAAGGTTCGAAGGAAAGCTTCTCGACACCGGGATTACCTCGGCGATTATCTCGATGTTCAATCCAGCCCGCATCTTATGAAAATTCTCGAGAAGCAGGGTTTGAAAATCTCTCTCTCTCTCTCTCTCTGCGTAAACATTGCGGATCCCTCTGTGTGATTGATTTTCGGTCCATTCCTGGCTTCAATTCAATTTTTTTTCCATTAATGTATGGGATATGGAGATCCCTGGTATTTTGATTTCAGACAGTCTGAAACTTTGCAAGAGTAATTAATGTGCATTTCAGTGAGGATTTGCTTGAGCAATAATTTTGCTTATCATTATTATAATTTTAATTTTTTCAAGGTTTATCATATTGGATAGCCTAGTAAGAAGTATCACTTCACAGGAATTCCTAACATATTCTTAGATGGTGGAAGTGAAAAGAGGGTCCAAGGCTGAAAATGGAATGCCTGGTCAACAAAATGATGATTGTGTTGCTTGGCTGATAAATTTTGAATGTGTTTGCTCTGTTTTGTATTTAGTGTGCTCTACACTGTTGACAGAGAAATTAAAGAGCACCATTTATTTGTTTAATGGCAATATTTTGTACCATGCTATCTTCCGCCAACATTCAACTACTAGATGTTGTTCCCTAATGCAAGTTTCTCATTCTCTCTGAATCATTTGGCTAAAATGCACTCATTTGTTGCCCGTGCATACTCCTGAAAGTGCATTTGTGTTGTCTGAAAATGTACATTTGATGCTCTTGCTGTTATGCTACTGTTTCTAAGTATGGGATGAATACCTTTTTGCAGTCGTAGATTCTGAGAAAATGTGAGCTGGGAAATATTGGTTTCTCAGTGTGTTGCTAATGTATAGGTGGCCTAGTTTTTAAGTCTCTACATGCATTGATATTTGCTTGCTAACAAATTGTATATCACTGTATTTGATCTCACAGGTGACAGGAAAGTTCTCTTTGCGGATAAAGTTTTAAAGTTTACTGGCTCAGGGAAGATGAAAAGACGAATACTTCTAATTACTGATTTTGCTATTTACATTGTGGACCCAAATACTGATGCACTCAAAAGAAGAATAGCCCTAGCCGCTGTCGAGAAACTTTGTTTAAGTGAACTGAGTGACAATTTCTTTGCCATTATTATTCCTACAGAATATGACTTACTCATGGCTAGCACACGAAAGACGGAAATTGTGACCGTCTTGGCAGATGCTACAAAAAGTGCTTCGGACTATGAACTCGAGGTTTCTCTATCTAACAGGTAGATTAATGAATTTGTTTTCTTTTAAACTATATGAGACTGTCTAGCTAGTCATTTCACACTAAGTGCATAGAATGAGGCATAAAATTTTGAAGCTTGGGGATTTATTGCTCCGTACTTCATCGTTGATCATCTCTCCCTGACTCCAAATCTTCAACAATTTATTCGTAAAAAATGAAAGTTTGCTTATGACAGACGGGGAGGAGTGCCCTATTGGCATATTTAACTCAGAACACACAAATAAAACACTTAAGTAAATGTTGGCCAAACACTAGTTTAATTATCAGCGGTATCTTCCGGTTGCAAGTGCCGCCTATTTATATACTTTTTGCTTCTGCTTAGAAATTTCTTCTATAATGCGAAAAGTTTTTGCAGATATGTACTTATTAGCTGTCTAATAGCTACTGGTGACATTATGAGCAGGTTTGAGTATAATGCTGCTGCAGAAGTAGTGAAGGAAGTTCAATTTGAGGAGGAAGAAGGTACTTTTGCATTTTTTTTTATAGAACATTGGACTATGCATGCTCTATGCATTTGCTATACACAACAATTGTATTGACATGTAACTTTCTTTCGCTCTACCTTTTTAGGTGGTGTGAGGACGAGAATTGTGCAGAAATGAGTTGCCCAGTTTGTTAGTTTTGGCCATGTGGTGCTCAGTGAAGTATTTTGAAAATTGTACTGTTGTATCCCCTGAGAAGGTGAAGTTCATGATATAAAGGTGTTCAAGAACTGTAGGAAATCAAGATCATGTCCGTTATATATGCATGTTACATATAGAAAATGGAAAATTCATCAATTTATTTATTGGTTATCTTTCTTTCTTTCTTTGTTTCTTTTTCTATTTTCTTACTTGATTCAGTCATTGGATGGTTTATTGTAAGAAATTTTCATTGCCTCACATTAGTGTTTGTAATCAAACTGAACATTCGCGAACAAAAGTTCGTTCACGTTCGACAAAAGTTCATTCGTTTGTCAATCGAGTCGAATTTGAACAGAAAATTAGGCTCGTTTAATAATTGAACGAACACGAACTCGTTCGCCAACGTTCGATAATGTTCGTGAACATTAATTTAATATACTTTTATTTTATGTTTACTTGATATTTTAATAAAATATCTAAAATATAAAAATATTTTTATTCTATTTTTTTTATTTTCGAGTTCGAACAAATAAATATCGAATTAATTAAACATGTTTAAAAAGTTTATATCCTAAATTTCACCACGAATGAACTCGAATTTTACAAATAATTAAAAGAATGAACTCGAACACGAATTTTTGCTCGAAAAATAAATGAACGCACATGAACACTGTTCGAACGTAAACGAACACGAGCTCGGATCGCCCAAGCTCGGCTCGTTCGGCTACCTCACATGTAAGAGAAAATTAATAACCAATTCATGCGATCATCTTGGTTATTTGTGATACAAAAAGTATTTGTAAACAACTATAGCCATGCGTGGGAACACACGAACTATTGTTGATCACAGTAAACAGTGACAAGTCTTCACATCAAAACTAACACACAGTTGTGACTCTTCAAGCATTTCATACCTTTGTACGCAAATGCAATATCAAATTCCTCTGTCCTCTTCACTCTTTTCGATTACCTAAATCCATGGTGCACGTGAACTGAACAAGAAGGCCAATTACTAACTTTGTATTCAGTGGTTCCCATCAGTCATCATCTTGTTCATCTCCAGAAAATAATGAATGGACCCAATTGTTATAATCATGCCTGCATACTTGATCTATTTTTCGACACGAATTTGATAGCCCACAAGTGTTCATACCATTGCCCGCAAATTCTTTTTTAGATATGAAATTCCTCTCCATGTCGTCTTCACTTCTTCCTAAAACACACGAGAGTAGAACTAAATATACAAATGTAAAGAACAGTTCTTATATAACAATAAATTCAAACTGTAACCCAAGGATGAATTTATGTAAACAGATTATGCAGCAATCGTATTCATGGAAGACCATACCAGCTATTATCCTATCTGCTACCAGACTTTGATGGGAATAATTTATAGAACTACTTTGGAGAAATATTCTTCCTAGCACCAACTAACCTAATCAACCATTTAGATATCTCAATTAATTCAAACATGCATTATCCTAGTATAGTACAACATTTTCCCCATCCTATCTAAGTCTTAACAGAAATCAGTAAAACGGCAAGAATAGAACTCCAGGAAGATGCCTCCAAGCTCAAAGAAGTCCAAATCAACTAGCCCGGCACATATCAAACACTAGAATTTTCTAGAATGACAAACTACACAAACACAAACACACACACGCGCACACACACACACACACACACACACACACA